AAATGAGACTTAGATAATTCGTTATTTTACAAAAATTAATTATCATAAAGATAAAAATAGCTGTAAAAGATTTTATTTGAATCAATTCTTTTCATCAATATTCTGGATTTAGTTATTCATTTCTCATATTTTTCTCTTCTTTTTACAAATCAATCGATGAATTTTTTAATAATATTGTTAGATTAGTATTCTATCTATGTAATCAATTAAATAAGAAAAAGATTGATTTAGTTAAGAATATTTTAATGAGATATTCGATAGAAGATGATCAATAAACACGAATGAGTAAATTCAGATAATCTGATTTTCTCCAAGTTATTAAAGATAATTAACAATATATATATATATATCTATGTATGTTAAAAAGATCAAGATCATTTGAAATTCTATAAGATCTCATATCTTTTTCCTTACGATTCGAATTTGACTACGGTCTAATTATCTTTTCTTCTTCTTGTCTGTCGATTTAATGATGATTTGATGAAAATGAAAGAGTTTTATTTCTCATCATAATTGATAAAAATTGAAGTTAAAGTTAAAACGGAAAGATTTAATAAGAAGAAAGATATTTTTCTTTTTCGAAGAGGAAAAAAAAAAGTCGAGTTTGTTATTCTCATTTTGTTCTTTATTCTTGATATTCTCATATAATGGATGTCATGATTGATTCGATGCATGAATGATCGCCTGAAGGAAAAACACATCTAAAATTTTTTATAGAAAGCATTCTCAAGAAGAGATCAAGATATTAATATCTATTTTTTCTTTTGTTTTCTTTTCTTTTTTCTTTTACTTAATATATTCTCATTCTTTTCGTTTGATTATTCAAGATTTCTACTGATCTAAAACAATATCTTTTGAAATTTGATCTGAAAAAGAATGAGAAATCATGTTTTCAAATTTTTCTCGTGAATTTCTTGTTCGATTCAGTGAAGATTATGCCCAAATTCATGGTCGTATTGTATTTCCCATAACAATTATTGGAATTTTAACAAGTATAGTGACAATTCTTATCTTAAATCGGAAAACATTTCAAACTCCAACAAATTTAATTCTTCAACATGTGGCATTTTTTGATACAATTGTTTTATTTTCATATAATATTTATTCATTTTATTTTTATATTCTTCATGATCCAAATCCATTTGTGGGTCAATCCCAATTTTGGATACGTTTTGCCATCTTTCATTCAAATATTGGTGTCACAGCACATTCCATTGCTCTTTGGTTAACTTGTCTTCTTGCAATTGTAAGAATTTTCTCTAAAAAATTCTTTATGAAAAATCATTTTTTTTTTTATTTTTAAAGATTCGTTATACGATCATCTCAAAACCCAAACGAGTACAAATTAATTTTACACATGTAACAATTTTAATTTGGATTTTTGCTATAATTGTATGTTTATTAATGATTCCAAGTTATTTTGCATGGAGTGTTTCATCATTTCCAGCATATATATATTCCTCCCGAACTTATATTCATCAAATTCTACAGAAACAGTTTATTGGATAAGTCAAGTAACAGGAAAAGGTTTAGAAAAAATCTCTTTTGGAATTATCGCCATCTGTCTGAAAATTTCTCCAGTTATTATTTTAATTCTTTTCAGTGTTTTATTAATTTTAAATATTCGTAATGCACGAAAATTACGTGAACGTCTTCGTCATCGTTATTCATCAATAAAATCTTCATCAAATTTCAAACGTGAATTACGAACAACAACAATGCTCGTTTTAATCACTTTATGTACGGTTTTTGTTGAATTACCTCAAGGTTTATTATTAATTGCAATTGGATTTGATAAACAATTCTTTGTATTATATTCCCATTTAGGAGATTTTTGGGATATTTCATCAATCATTTCATCATTTATTACATTTATTATGTATTGTTTAATGTCACAACAATTTCGAATGGAAATGATTTCACTTCTTTTACCCGAATTTCTAATACAAAAATTTCATTTAAGTACAAATAGAACTTCATTATCAAGACAAATTAGTTTAAAACCTATGAAATCACAAAATTCACCATCAAATATTCCGAAAACAAGAGATATTCCTACTGATCTTTAAATATTTTTCTGTAATCAAAACAAAAATTTCTTTATTTTAATAAATGTTGTTCATTGTAAATCTTTTCTTTTCTTAGAATTCATAAAACACATCAAAATATTTCAATTTTATTGATATAATCACATTTTTGATATCTTATGAAATTTTCCAAGAGATATAAGAATTTATTTTTGTCGATTAATGATCAAATATCCTCTTGACATTGATGCCATTTGATCATATGTTGAAATCATTTGAATTAAATGTTTAATTGATAACCAATGATGAGGAAATCTTTTATTATTTGGATCAAGAAGAAGTACATGATCAGTGATTGAATTAAAACCTCCAATAAGACAAAAATGTCCACTTTGATGAAGATAATCATTTTCTTTAATATGATATTGTCTCCAATAATTAACAATAAGAAAAATATCTTCACGATTTAAATCTCGTCGAAATTCTTCTTCAATTTTTTTATCTTGAGAATATTTAATTTGAGAAGATATTCCATAATATTTTAAAACATTTGATAGATTTGTTAATGTGATTCCATTGAACATAAAATCTTTTGCAATTGTCGAATAAATCATTTGTTGATTTGATTTTTCATTTGATAAGATTGTATTTAATAATGTTGATATACAAGCAATACCACAGAACGAAAGATGTTCTTGATATTGAAAATTTTCATGTAAATTATCATAAGATGAATGAAATGATTTAGAGAAAATTTCTTGTCCAATTGGAGAATCTAATGGAATTATTATTGATGTGTAATAAAGATCAATTGGAAGATCAGTTCTTGACCAAGATTTTTCCATTTGAAAGATAAATATGGTGATTCATTTTGTCGAAAGGGAACAAATCGTTATTGATCTAGTAGATGTCATTTATTCTTTCAAATAAAATCTGTTTCTATAGGTTTTTTTTTTATACAGAAAAATGAAAATATTTACATGAATCGACGTAAACGATCAAAATCTGATTGTTTATGAAGAAAATCTACTTGATAATTCATTAAATATTTAAAGGAAATGTCTTCTTCTTGAAAATTCTCCTTAACAGAGAAGTTTAAATGATTAAATAAAAGAAATTCCTATGAAAAAACGATGAAAAAAAAAGTAAGAATTTGAATTTGATAGAAATTTTTACTTGTTCATTGAGAGGATTTTGTTTTAATAGTTGAATAATATCATTTTCAAATGTATTCCATGATGATAAATGTGAAAGGGATAAAATTTTATAGGGTAAAACAAGATCCGTTACACTTTTTTCCAGAACATTCCGAAGACTTTTACCAACAATCGATGAAAAATCGCTTTCATCAAACGACTTTTCTTTGGACATGATCAATGAACTAATGAAAATGAACAAAATCATCTTTTCTTTCTTGTTCGTTGAACTTCGTCTGTGCACTGAAGAGGTCGCTACTAGTACAAAATTATCAGGAGAGATATGATTAACATTTTGAGGTTCAAGAAGTCAGTTGTTTTTATTGTTCACAATGTACTCAGTGTGTCTAGTCGAATGGGAACAATCGGAATATGTTGAAAATGAAGCTTTAGATTTGTTTCATCTAACGTTGAATATGCAAAGTGTGACCATGTTGAAAAAAATGAAATGATTAACTTTTTTGGCCCATGGTCCCCACTATTTCCTGACCAAAGAGCAATTTGTGAATATGGCTAATTTTTTTTGCATAAATCTACCATGTAAATAAAATATTTTAATTTCATCTGATAAGCATTTTAAAGCTTTTCCTTGTACATGGTTATTCAGTAACAAAAAGACGATGATACATTCATTATTTTTTTAAATAAATGGTAAAGATAGTCATGACCTAAAATCCAACAGGTTGACGAAATTTTAATTAAATTAATCTTTAACTTACGAATCCTGCAATGAATAAATGTTTCAAACTAAAAACGTGATTATTAATTTTTTCGCTATGTTATTTTGTACTTGAATTTAGTTCTTGAATTTGATGATTCATTTTTTGAGATGTTATACTGTTCATTTCTTGGAAATGATTTCAAATGAGAACCATGATGTTTAGTCGTGGGGATATGATGCTGGATGGAAAGGAAAATGATAAATCATCACGCTCACTGCCCATTGTATTTTCGTTAGATGGAAACTCTGGATGATTTGTACTGATTAATATTTCACCTCTAGTTGTACCTTCGATCACTTCGTTTAACGAGTTGTGTTGAAAATGCTGATGATAATGAGTATAATCTGACATTACCCTTTTCTTATACTCTTGATTAAACAAAAGTTATTGTGAAGGAAACAAAGATAAATGTCCTCTATCGGCACATTCGTTTTCTATATTAAAAGTATAATAACATACGAAGGAATAAGAAATTGTATATAGCAAAGACGTTCGACAATGATTAATTTTAATGCAAAATTTGTATAAGATGTTCATACTTGAAAGAATGATGGAAGTACAAAAGTTGATCATCTTTGTTTCTTAGATGTATTAATTTAACTATTTGGTTATGATTTCGAAACACATAACAAATATAAGAAATGTTAAGCGAAAGTTTTCCCTTCAATGATTCATCTGTAGATTTATGTTCTTTAAAGTTGCAAAGTAGTTTTATGTGATTTAAACGAAATAAAACACATTTGCATTCATATTGAAAACATTAGATGTTTTCTCAGAATCAAACCTTTCTTATTGATTTATAAAAAGGTATTGACATTGTTTGGACACTTTGATTTCATTGAATATAGAAACATAAACCATTTATTTTCTTATGGAATAGCATTTTGGTTATTGTGTAATCAGTTGAACTTTATTTTACTTGTGAACTTGAAATTTAATTTGTCAAAGTAACGAAAGAATAGATTGAATCTTTTAAATAAATTATTTGTATATTCATATCGATTGCTATGAACGGACATCTTATAAATCTAATATTTCAGTATATATAATATGATTTAACTTGTTTAATTAAAATGTTCTTTACTAATGATCCTTTATTGATACTTATGTCTTAAAATACTGATATCAACTTTCAAATAAAAAAAGTCTATTTTCTTTCGTTTGTTTTGATTGGATCAACAGGATTAATTCGTTTGACAATGAGCAAACTTTTAGGATAAAATGGAAATTGAGGTAAATGTTCAAGTTGACAATCTAATGTAGCAGTAAGTGTTTCACGTGAATAAGCAGAAAAACTTCCAGTTAAACCAATATCACCAGGTACAGATTGATCAAAAAACACTAGAAATCTTGTTGTAACATTTCCAATATTTTCAATATGATGTGGATAAGCTCGAGGAATGAAATACATATCACCTGCTTGAAGTGTATATGTTTCGAATCGTTGTTCATCACCAGGAGAAAGAACAGTCATACGAGCACGACCTTCAATCACATAGCCCATTTCAGCTGTTTTTGGATGCCAATGAGGTTCACGCATACCATTCGTGGTTATTCGAAGAGAATACATTGAAACTATAAAAGAAAATAAAGATAGAATATGTTCTATTTATCAATCAAAACTTACCATCTTTCAATATGGGCCAAACATTCTTTGTAATGGTTTTAACAATTCCTTCGGAATTTAATATTTTAGCTGATAAACCTTCAGCATTGAAATGATATTTATTTGGATATTCAAATTCACGTAAAATTTTATTTTTCGTCGAATCATTCTTAAATCCGAATACAGTCGCTACTTGACGATGTTCAATACGTTGAAATGCACTACTTGATAATTGAAATGTATTTCCAAGCACAGCATTTGTCCTACAAATAAATATCGACATAATTTTCAGGTAAAAACAATCAATGAGATATACATTGCAAAGAATGTACTCGATAAACCAAAATCTTCAGGCAATTCATGTGTAAAGGTAACAACAAATTGTGTAGGAAACTTCATATCGAAGTTTTCTATATGGTGTAAATAACCCGATGGAACATAATACATTTCACCTTGTTTAACAAGAAATGAATTATGATCATTATCATCACCAAATATCGTAATTAAAGCTGAACCATTCTAGAGAAACAAATTCATTGAATATGAGAAATTGTTTTGTTTGAAAATGACTTACTAAACAATAACCTAATTCATCAGCATTTGCATGCCAATGAGGTTCTCGAATACTTGAAGAATTTATTGATATATATCGCATAGAAAGTCCTTTGAGAATAGGAAATTCTTTGATTGACACGGATGAAATCAATCCTGATGATCGATTTGTACGTGTCGGTGAATCAATTAAAGAATAAACATATCTGGATTTGCAATGAATCGTTTCGATGTACAATGAAAAAGTAAAGAGAAGAATAACAAACAATCGATACATAGTGAATTTCATCTGTGTTAGTCGATTTAGATATGTATTATCTCTTTATATATATGAAGAAAATATAAACAATTGGTTTGATTTTATTGTTTCATCTCGTCCAATAAGTTTCTATATCGAATAGTAGAAGAATAATTTCATTGTGAACTTTTTGTCCTAAAACTCTTTGTTCGTTGAACAATGAACAAAGATTTGATTCATCAGAATAAAATTATTGGTTACGTGTTGATAATGGAGACATGAACTTGATTGTGATGAAAAACGTACTCCATTAACTACAATGATTGGTTCGAATATGTGCAGAATGTATTTTCAAGGACAAAATAAATTCCTGACGCGTACGTTTCACAAGAATGCACAAAATATATTCGTTAGCATCCATAATTGTATCACCAAAATAAAATCGATGATTGGATTTATTTTTCGAAACATATTTTTCTTTCAATACGAGGTTATTCAATATCTCAACCAAATTGTATATAAATGTGGATAAGTACCAAGGTTTTTCTATATCGTCGATTCATTTACAATTATCATTTATATTCGTTAGTTGACAAATCGCAATGGCTACTCGATCTCTTTACTTCGTGTTACTAACATTTTTATTGGTATCAATTTGTTTAGGAAGAAATTTAATGCAAGATATAAATGATAATGATGATGAACTTGATCTCAATGAAGAACTTATGGCAAGAAGTATATTTACGAAAATCGGAAAAGCTATTAAGAATTATTTTAAAAGTACTGCAGCACGTGAAGAAGAACTTCGTGAATGCAAGAGAAAATGCAGTGTTAATCACTGCAAAATTCTTCCAGGTGGTGCTGATTGTGGTAGAGATAAAAAAGGATACGACAATTGTATAAACAAATGTTATCATCCTTAAACAAATGATGAAGACTAAAAACAAAAAAAACAACAAGAACTTTTTTCTTTGATTTTGTCTTTCCTCACTAAACTTTTCAGAAGAAGAATGAAAGAGTTTTCTCTATTGCAAATTTTCCAAAATAGTATCCAAATCGATACTAACACATGTATTTCAGACTTAAACGAGAAAATCTAAATAATTGATCCAATAAAACTTTATTTACATTTATTTTCTTACATATCATATAATAAATATATTTATACTTTAGATTATCTTTTTAATACTATTTTCAGCAGATTTTATTTCAGATCGTACATTGTTTCATGTTGTTCATCTTTGCTACGAAATTATAAATATATAACGATTTCATCATAAATTCTATTGATTGTGTTTCAATCGCATTATGTCAAAAGAAAAGTCCATTAGTTCTCTTTTATCTTACTTTCATGTTCATATCAATGTCCATAAAGTGTTCTTCTTCTTTTATAATGTATTTCGATTGTATTTTCTACAGTAATATTACAAATTATTCATTTGAAACTCAATCAATATTATTTCAATTGTAAACAAAGTTCATCGTCCAAAAGATAAAATTTTGCTGATTCATCAATAATGCGTTGTTGCATAAAAAGAAACGATAAAAATCATTTCATTTCTATGTGAACTTTCAATTGAAAATCTTTTTTCTTTGTTTACTGATTAATTGAAATTTTCTTTCTAAAAACATATTTTCAATTCATTTGAATCCTAAAATTATTTTAATAAATATATGTACATTTGGTAAATATACATTCTTTCTCTCTTTACATTTGCACCATAAGAACATATTTTTCTTTTACTGTTTAATATCGATTAACACAATCATCATTTGTATTCATTGGTTGAAAAATCGCATTACTTTCTCCATATCTCTACACTTCATGCTACCAAGTGTTTTACTCGTATGACGTTGTCTGAAAAAGAATCTGTAATGCAAGATATCGATGATGAAGATAAACCGGATTTGAATGAAGAACTGATTACAAGAAATCTAATCAGTCAAATTTTAGATATGTTCAAAATTAACCTCAGAAGTGATAGAACACTTCGAGAAAAAGTTCGATACTGTAAGATGAATTCAATACTCTTTCATATCGTAAAACTCCTCCAGATGGTGTAAATTTTAGTCAACAAAAAAGGCGACATGATAGTTGTATTAACAAATATTATTATCTTTAAACAGATTATAAAAATCATAGAGAAAAAAATCAAAATTTCTACATTGAATTTGTCTTTCTTTTCAATCAATGAGATGAATGTTTTCTTCAATAGATTTGAATATTCTTGTAAAGACGAGATAAAAAGTGCCACATATCCAAAAGTAAAATCTTTCTTTTTCTTTCCGACGTAATTTTATCTTGAATATCCGACACCATTCTGTTTATAAAAGAGAAAGTAACTATGTTCTATATCTAATTTATCCGAGAATAGCCGAAGGTTAAGACCATTAACGCAAACAAACAGAAACTTTTGTTTGATGTCAAGTTGAGTTTCGAAGATCTGATCTTCATATCAAGGCGATACTCAATATGACTTTATGGAAAAACAAATGAAACAATGTTATAAAAAATATGTGAAAACAAATGTTGATGAAGGTTATTATTTGATCGTTTTCCTAAGATGAGATATGTGAATAATGGAATAACCTTTAGAGTTGTTATCATCTGATATGCAAAGGATAAATAATGTCAGATGTCATTCAATACTATTTATTGATAATTTATCTTAAAAGAGAAAGAGAGAGAGAAGAACAGGTATTAAATAGCATTGATGATAATTGATCAAGATTAATTTTCTTTTTCAGAAATCGATAATTACTAGAAAAAGAATCGTTTTCTTTTTCGTATTCAGAGAAGAGAAAAGATTTCTTCTTTCTTTCTTTCTTTCTTTCTTTTTCTTTGCATCTTCATTTCTCTGTGTTGTATCGCAATAAGACGAGTCGATTAATAAAAGACAAATGAATTGCTTTACTGAAAATTGTTGTTTCAAATTCAATTATTTTATTTGTGGTTCAAAAGAGAATTCATCAAAGAAGAAAATCAGTGTATCCGTAAGTTTCAGAGTCAATTTCAAGAAATATTTCCTTCTACTATGACTTAAACAAGAATTGGATTTGTAAGTTAATTGAATATCTTCAGTAGATTGATTCAATAAATGTTCTTTTCATTGTATTGATCAAATCGAAAAGAGAAAAGTCCGACTTCCTTGAAAAGATAAGAAAATATCTTCGAATTATCGCGTAATAAATCATGTTATTATCATTGACGTTGACATCTTATCTTCATTTGATTAGTATTTTCTCTTTTTATTTTAGGAAAATCTTTATGTTAATCAAATTCGTTCAAATGACAAAATGATGCCTTTGAAAGATTTCTCATCTTATTGTATATTTTCAAAAGATAATTAGTAAGAATTTCATTTTCTAGACATATAAGGTGATCATTGTCTTTTTAAAAAAAGAAACTTTATCAAGGAAATCGATCGATTACGAGAATAAATTTGGTTTTTCTTTCATTCAAATAACTGAATAGACGTTGTTAATCACAAAATCAAATGATATGACAAAAATATTTCTTTTATGAATTTTAGTTTTCAAAGTAAATCTTCGTTTTATTCACTTGCTCAATCTTATGTGACATTAAATAATCAAATTTTAGTCAAAGTAAAGAGATTTTCGAAGGAATATAAAAGAAATTCGGCGTATTTTCTCATTTAGGATATTATTCTTTATCGTCATAATCCAAATGAACAATTAGGTTTAACTCTTTCCTATGGAATCACATCACAATTTCAGACAAATATTTACATTGAAAAGGTTAATCAATTTTCGTTTACAAAGAAAGTCAAAATTTCGTTTGAATTTTAGATTGAAAAAGGAAGTCTCGCTCATCGACAAGGAGAATTTCAATGTGGAGATCAAATTATTCAAATAAATAATATCAAAGTTTTTAATCGAGAACAAGCAATTCAATTGATTCAAGGTGTTTCACTTCTCATTTTTCAAATCATTCGTTTTCAAGTAAAATTTGTTCTATTTTGTCTCCTTTTCGGAATAAAAACTCTTTTCATTTTGTAGTTCAAACAAGAACATTCTTCTCAAAGAACACAGTTAACTGAAGATGACAGTGGAATTATTTTAGGATTTGAAAGAAATCGACGACGATCAACTAGTTTATCGTGTTTAACAAGAAATCATTTATTAAATCGATCTCGTCGTTGTCTCTCGTTAAATGATTTAGCGAGAAAAAATCAATCGATATTTTCTTTTAATGATTTAATTCAATCGGAAAGTTTATTCGAAACAACAACTACAGATAATGAAAAAAATATTCTTAAACCACTTCCATTTAATTATCAGAAAGATTTCGTAAGAAAAGATTCGAAATTAATTCGTCGTCGTTATCGAGAAAGACGTTTAAAAGAAGATAATCATTCATTGATAACAACAACAACTGATGAAGATGAATTTAAACAAGGTCGATACTGGACACGAAAACAAAGAAGGGAACAATTTCAAAAATGTAAACAAAATAAACAAAAAGATTTGTTAAAGAAAAATCATTCGTTGAAAAGAACAACTGATGATTTTAATTTATTAAATCGAATATTTCTTAGAGAAAATCAACAAGAATTACAAGAAAAACCATATTTAGCTGTACAATTTTCTAAACAAACAAATATTGAAAAACAAAAATTAAAAGAATTTATTCAACAAAATCAAATGAAAAGATCACATAAAACATCTTTATCAACAACAACTGCATCAATCAATACTTCTCATTATCAATCATCATCAATTATTATTTAATTTCTTTTCTTTTAAATATTAAAATAAAATATTTTCATTTCAATACCATAAATATATTTTTATTTCAAAAGAGAATTTCTAATAGAAATATCTATAAGAATTATGGATGGGTAAGAGATGAGAATGAAAAATAAAACAACAATTATTAATGGGAAAATAATTTTAGATATCATAGACATAAATCTTTTTTTTCGTTCATAAGACATTTGATAAACGCGACAAATCGCTTTATTACACGTTAGAAATTCACAAATCTTTATTTTTTTTTATAACATGTTGTGATTTATATATGGATATATAAAATCCTTTTTATATTCAACCTTACGCACAATTTCAGAACGAATTTATTCACAATAAAATCAAGAAATGATTTAAGTCATATTCTATTGCAAATACTCGCTCTCTCATCTTATAATATTTGACTTTTTTTAACTGCAAGCAAGTCATTGTCAATATTTGTCTAAATCAGATATACATCACTGTATTCAGAGATATATCACTATAGAAATACGATTATTTATGTCAAATAGAATTTGTCTAAGATTTTCGTTGTTACATATTTCTCTGTGTAAAATTTTGAAGCACAAGAAGAGAGCGATTTCTTCTTTCTAATCGTAAGTCAATTGTATTTGAGCAAGGAATAGTATTATCAAAGAGTATGTAGTCAATCAAGTTATTCTAAACGATAAAATATATTATTGTTGGTTATGCAGCGGAAGGAAATTATGTCAGATATGACAAAATTTTATGGTGTATTTTGTCTGTTTGGAAAAACTTCTTTTACATTTAGATTGTCAGCTACATGATAAACTAATTATCTTTAGTTAAATTCGTGTTATGCGTTTCTCTAAATAGGAAAAAAAGATGAACACGGAATTATCATTTTCATGTCGATGTAAACGAGAACAACATAGAATATCCTCTTAGGAAATTCAGAATAGTGAAACAAAAAATATCATTATTAAGTGCCAATTTAATATTATATTACAATGTTCTCTTCATGGATATAAAATCTCGGCGAAGAATCGTAATAACACTATCTCCAAGTTTAAATAAATGAATTGACATAGATAAAAATAAAGTAAACTTTGATAATTATAACTGTTACGAGTAAATTAGCGTTCTGGTGAACTCTTTGTTAAAATGAGCTCTCTTCCAATCATGTAATATCTCTGAAGATTCGTCATAACTTGTGATACAGTAGTTCATCAGGTAAAAGGATCCTATTGATGAGATTTACATACTCTAAAGAGTTCATAGACTCGAGATAAAAACTAAGTCCTTGTAAGACACGAATGAATGTTTTCGAAACATTCTCCCATCAAATTGATCTAGACTAAACTGTAGCTAATTGACAGAAAACAGAACCTCACTATATCTAACTGAATGAGACGTGAATATTGAAACTGTTGAGCACAGACGCCTTCGAGTGAAGTTAATTTGATTGTTGTAGTTTTTTTTATTACAGTGAGAAACGCGTAAAATCATTTAAACTTTGTCTCATTACTTTCTCTTCAGTCACGACTTATGTTCTCAGAATTCAATGCGTGCAGCCTAAACTTACAAAGAAGAAGTTGTTTTTAATTTATGCGAAATTTATTTCATACCGTCTATCGTTTTCTGGTTTCTTTTACATTGAATATTATCAGACGCTTGTGCAAGAATCGTCGTACAAGATAATGTTGATCAAAAAAACAGAAACACACAAAATGAAAACACATTAATCCTTTGAGTCGTAAATTATTTTTTGCTAAAATGAATTTAAGTAAATGATGAAATTAGCTTCTTCTAAATATAGAATATATGTTATGAAGAACTCAGACGAATACGCTTATATCTTACAGCGTCTAGCTCTATTGAATTTTGTTATAAGTGAGTAGATATTTTAACTATTGTTTTTATTCAGTACAAAATATATCCCTCTCATTCTCATTACGAGAATCATTTTGATCATCAGATGAAAACATCCTTGCATCATTTTCTTGATCAGGATCCATTTATACCATTTTCGAAACTAATAGTAACACAGAAATTATCTAGGGAAAGTCTAATATTTCTGTCTAGTAGCATATTAATTGTCGTATATAGAAAGGATAGAAAATGTTCTGTCACACACATATTCAAACAGTATTTAAATACATTTCGAATCTTTTGTAACACGAAGCTGGATTTTCTACATACATGGTTTTGAAAAGTTTTTCTATAACATTCTTCGTGACTGCATTTAAAGAAACGATGTGCATATTTTCACAAAAGTGTGCGATAAAATTCAGTAATAAAACATGTGAAGCAAAAATACTACGATAGAATTCAAAGGGTTAAGACGCAGCGACAACGAAATTCACGTGCTAGATATGTATTTCAGATTTTTGTCTGTTCTTCCGATACCATAGGCCGTAATATGGATGGGAAAAGTCAGAGGAAGGAATCGAATCTCCTGATGTTTAATAATTTAGACGTATAGATTCACTACGTTATTCCCAACTAGTAGCAGAATATAAGAAGTAGCTGCATAGACGCTCTTTTCTCATTCGATTCGATTGCATTGCTCGATGTGAATGATGTTGCTTTGACGACACCCATAAAACTGTACGGTTAGCGTGATTTGGATGAAACGTCCCCTAAGCAGCTCGGCGATAGATAATATCCAATTATGATTACTTTAGTATAGAATAGGACGAGAATTTGGTAAGGAACGCTATAATCAAAGAAGATCAGGGCGGTGAGGATCAGCCGATAGGCATGCGTGAAATTCACCCAAACTATCCTGGTATCAGTTGACGTTAACAAAACCATTCCAGATGTGTTGGATTACATAAAGCCTGGAACTCTGTTCGGATACTCAACTGTTTTCAAAATGTTGACTTCTATTAATCTTTTCGGGACGGGGTTCTTTTTTAACAGACCAAATAACGAAACACGATACTAATCAAAGTCGCTAGATTTTCATTTTTAGTTCATTATTTTCATCTGTCGAGAGACTAATACTGCACATAAGCTCATTAGTGGTATCGAAAACTAGAGGAATATCAGCTAGAATAATAGAAAAATAATATACAGTTAACGATTGGAATGATCTCAAGTCAGTGGCCATTATAGTGGCCGCCCGTCCCGAATGGGTTAAATATAGTCAAAGTATGCACAATATGTTACTAAGAACATTTAAAACCTCTTAGTGTTGTAGTATATCGATAAACCAATATCTTGTTCGAGTTCAATGATGAGGATGAATGGATAATTCATTGTTTATTCTATCTTATACACTTTTTTGTAGTGTACAACGCCTTCGTATAAAGTTCTAGGCTTCCGCATTAAAAAAAGATTTTTTTGTAAAAATGATACAGATTTTTGTAGATTGACATTTACTTTCATATCGCTATGGAAGGTAGTGGCGATAGTCTCACAGATTATTTGGATTCATCGACTGATCAATTGTCTCCATCGGTTATAAAACGATTGAATCTAGGTGATAAAATAGAAAAAAATCGACAACAACAATCGACCACAAGCGTTAGTACATTATTAGATGTCAAAACTAATCTTGACGAAGTTCAATCTTTGGAATCAATGTTGCATAGTGTTGTCAAGATTTTCTGCACTTCAATTCCATGCAGCTTTGATTTACCATGGTAAGACCCATGGATTTACTTCTTTTGATGAAACTCAAAAATCATGATAAGAATGAAGCAAAATATCAATGTGTCGCTATAAGGCGACGAAACAAAGATTTGAATATAATTTGACCTGAAAATAAGTGTCGTTCATGAAAATGAGGACATATATTTCTAATTTATATCTATATCAGAATATTCTCCTACGTCTCAATTAGTGGATGAATGAGAAGTTTACGCAGTGAATACTTGTCAATGATGTTTTGTTACTTTAGGCAAATGAGATCGCAATCAACTGCAACAGCATCAGGATTTATAATAAACGATCGACGAATTCTTTCAAATGCTCATGCTGTTTCAAATTCATCTGTTATTCGTATTCAAAAACATGGTGATACAAGGAAATATCCTGGACGTATATTACACATTGCACATGAATGTGATTTGGTTATGTTGACTGTTGATGATAAACAATTCTGGAATAATGTAAATTCATTGATATTCAATGAAATTCTACCTGAATTACAGGATTCAATTTTAATTGTTGGATATCCAATTGGTAAACATTATTTGTATTTCTTTTCATCTATTCATATTATTGATATTTGTTTTTGAGGTGGTGATAATTTATCGGTAACAAAAGGTGTTGTTTCAAGAGTTTGTATGTCGACTTATTCACATTCATTAGAATATTTGTTATCAATACAAATTGATGCTGCAATTAATCCTGGTAATAGTGGTGGACCAGCTTTTCAAGGTACAAAACAAAAGTTTCAGAATAATTATCTATATGCATCACTTTAATCCAAATGAACACAAATAATTACATATAAAATAGAAATTGAAGATGAGTAAAAGGAAAATCATCAACACAGAGTGTTCGATCATTTTCAGGTTTGTTTTCATCGAGATTTCTTATGTGTTTGATAAAGTAAAGAAGAGATGAGAACGAAAAGTATTTGAAACACATAGAAAATACATATTGTGTATTTTTCTTTTTCTTTTTCGCAGATAAAAAAGTTGTTGGTATATCATTTCAAGGAATGAATAATGTTCAATCAATTGGATACATTATACCAGTATTAGTAATCAAACATTTTCTCGATGATATTCAATTACATGGAAAATATACAGGATTTCCTCGAATGGTTTTTCATTATCAATCAATGGAAAATTATTCATTTCGAAAATATTTGAAATTAAATGATGATCAACATGGGATTTTAATAACAGCAGTTGAACCAGCGTGTATTCTTAATAAAATATTAAAGAAAGATGATGTGATCACAGGTATTGATGAGAAATCAATTGCTGATGATGGAACTATTGATTTTCGTCGTGGAGAAAGACTTAGTTTCATACATTTATCAAAAATAAAATTTGTTGGTGATGAAATTACATTTACAATTATACGAGAAGGTAAAAAAACTCATTTATCAAATGAAGAATTCTTTCGAAAGTTTCTTTTCATTTTTGAGGTAAAGAAATGAAATTAACAAGTTTATTAGATAATAATTCCGCACTTGTTCCATTACATTCACATGATAAACGTCCAGATTATTTAATTTATGGAGGAATCGTTTTCACAGTATTAACTCGTTTTTATTTGTATGAATGGGGTTTTATTAACTGGAAACAAAAAGCTCCAAGACATTTAGTTAATTTAGCACTGAATGGCATGTTGGAAGAGCCAGATCAACAAATTGTTGTTATTAATCGAGTACTTGTTGATGAAATTAATTATGGAATTGAACCATCTGTTATAGATGCGATTTTAAAAACTGTTAATGGAATTGAAATTAAAAATATAAAACATTTAGCAAATGTTATTGATCAAATATCAAATAGCAAAGAAAATACTTTTATTCGTTTTGAAACTCAATCAAAAAGTATCATTGTCGTTTCATGTGAAGATGCTAAACAATCAGAAGAAAGAATTTTAACACAAAATTCAATACCTCATGCAAGAAGTGAAAATTTACGGTAAAAAGAACTTTTCAGAATTTTGAAATGAAATTTTTGGTATGTTTTAATTGAACTTTGATCTTCTTTTTCAACATTCTTAAATTAAGAAAAAATTCTCGAACGATATTGTTTACATGAACCAAGGGATTAGTGTCGCTGATAGCTTAATTCAATGAATTGTGTTTGAATATGTATTGACACACAAACATAAATGAAATTCAATCTACGAAAGGCATACCAAAATGATTAAGCTCTTTGTGCCCTTATGGATCATGAGAGTATTACAATAGTATCTTAATGCAGTCAGAAAATCTTTAATAAAAGAAACAAATTCTTGTTCTGTTCACTATTCGTTTTTGTGAAAGAAAGGATTATAGCGTCATAAGTACAGTCATTAATATTCAAAAAGTTTGTTTGTTTATGTTAGTGAATCAGTTTCTAACATTCGATAAAACAACGAATTCTTGACAACAGTGATAGGCAATCACTGTCCAGAGGATTTTCGAGGTCGGCGAACTCGAACCTTACGTAAGGTATAACTAATTATTACTTGTTAATAAACTACCTATAACCTATGAATAAATTATTAATACATAGAGTAAGGGTTGACCGCACGGTGGTAGTGATCAACGAATTCCAATCTGCCGTTAGTTTTCTCCTATTCACCGAATTTTGGCTCGTTTCTTCTTCTTTCCAAAAGAGATATTTTTCTGTATCTTTGCTGAAATCTTTTGCAGAAAGCAGAAGTTTGAACATTATTCCTAGATATGGCGTGCATGAATGATAGTAGATTAGGAGTTTACACAAAAAGATTCAGTATATCTTTCATTATGACGCAGTTGTAATTCCAGGAATTAGAAGATGTGGTATGGAATTAATGTCATCATTGCATTGTTAGCTGTGCGACACGCCAGCTCTTTCGATTGGATTTCAGCGAAAATATGTTACATAAGGCATTTCCGGCAGTAGAATCTCATCTTATTAGCTACGGAGACATCAACTATACAAATAGTATTTCAAATATGAGACACTATGATAGGTGCTCTTTTCACGACAAATTATAAAATAAAACTTTTTATCTAGTTTCTTTGCTAATCAAATGAATGGAAGATCACTGCTTCGGAACTGACAATTAAAGGAAACATGGTTATTCACTTTGAAGTATACGTTTGGGACAATCTTATCAAACATGAAAGATTTTAAAAAGGGATCTGATGAAGATTCTTTAATGAAAATATTGGACACAATATCACTCTCCTGAAAGTAGAGAAAAGAATCAATTGTCAGTGGATAAAACACAGGCGTACTATCAATGCCTTGTAGGTTGTCGATTATATATCGTTCTTTTGTGAGCAACTTAGTAGTGTCCATAAAAACTTTCATGTGCGTAATGTGAAAATAGAAAAACAGATTTTAAAGGTCAATCACTAGCAGTGAGTGGTCAAAGATCGACTAGTTATTAAGCGATGCAACTTTTAGCAAATATAACTAGTACTCGAAAATTTCTCACTAACAAAAGGCTAGTTGGTTCGATCCATCAAAAACAAACAATATTTATCTTTTATTAACTCTAGTACATTACACAATGCCGTGATTCAGCTGCGAATCATTATCAGTTGTAGTGCTTTATTTATATTTCAAAGTATTTGAATGTGTTCAACCCTCGGAGAAGTCTTTCAGGGAAGGATCGACGTTATTTGTTATGAGTTATTTTTTATTTGAAAGAGAGCAATAATAGGAAAATGGTCGGACGAATAATTTCGAGAACGAATATCTCCTACAGCTATGAATTTCGGTTGTAAATGAAAGCTTCCATCCGTTGCATGTTGATACAAAATCCAATCAACATGAATTCGATGTGAACGCCAAAGTGAAATCATATCTGATAAACATATGTTTCGACGAACCTTCCAAATTTGTTTTACAATATCGATAATAACTGATTTTCTCAAGGATGTTTCGTAAAGTAAATCAACACCTAAGCCACGAAAGGTGTATAATATGATTTGAATGAGTTGAAATCCATACGTGTTCACTATTGATCCAAGCCAACCGTGAAAAGATGAAGAAAATGAATTAGATATGCATGTTGATGGAGATGTTTGACAAGTTGTCCATGTATCATATAAAAACTGAGACGATGTTAGAATTTGATGTGTCGTTTGTTTTGGAATAGTATTAAAATCTCCACATAGAAAAACGAGATCTTTCGGATATTTTTCTTGCCATTGTTTTATCGTCGATCGAATTACCTTTGCTTGTTCCTGACGCGCTTGTTCATTTCTCACATCCAAATGAGTATTGAACACAAGAATTTGAGGAGAATTTTCAATATTTTTCAATTTAAATCGTGCGATGTTCAATGTTCGCACACCGTGACTATTCCAATCTTTACTTCCAACTGTTCTTGGACATTTCGATAACCAAATGTAATCTTGTTCTAATAACGTCAGTATTTGAGTATTATATAAAATAGCAACTCTAAAGTCCATTTTTGATAGAGAATCTTCACAATCATCCTCGGTATCCATAGGTTGATAACCAACATATTGATAATATTTAGGCAAATGACAATGCCAAAGTCGTATCTGATCAGTAAATGGTTCCTGCACACTTAAGACGGATGGTTTCCACTTTTCGACAGTCTCTACTAAGCGAAAAACTCTCTTCGTAAAGTTATTATTTGGATCACGTTCGTGAATGTCATGTCGAATATTAAAGGTCATAATAGACAATAAATCTTGATTAATTGTTTGATATTTCTTTAACATTGTCAAATCATCTTCTTCTGTGTAACGTGGAAAAGTGAATAGATAACAAATAAACAGACAAAGTAATATTACAAATAAAATCAATACCATTTTGATCACTGAAAAAAAAACAATAATAACACATATAATTTTGTACACAAGTGTATTATATGACATAAATGATGATGCAATGTCGACTCATGTGTTGCAAATATAACTTTGACACGTGGTTTTCACACATTTTCGGTATGTGAGCTGTTGTAAAGTAACCAATAGACGAGCAACCCGATCGCTTACAGTGAAATGCAACGTTTTCTACATCGTTTCAATCGAGATTAGCAACGCAGCAATAAAGATATGCAAACAGTAAAAGAAACGCACAATTTCAGTTCTTTATTATACAAATACATAGATCGAAACATGAGAATGTGAAAACACTGAAATAATTCTTATTCTTGTCTGCTTGGGTATACAGTGTCACGATTCACTTGACGATTTAAACTACTTTATAGAGCTTGTGTCAAGTTCTCAGCGATACAAAGATCGATTATATCCTACAACCTTTTGTCTCAATATTTCTCAGGCTGTCTGATGAAAAAAAGTTGTATTTCTAAAGCTTTTATATCTTCGAAGAATGATGAACTGATGACAAAATCAAAGATTTACTCAATACAAAAAAAGTTGTTGCGTAATTGTATTATGATTGTAAATGCGTTTGGTTGTTAACGAATTCATATTCCAACCAGTGATATTTCAAAGAATTAATTATCCTGTTGTACATTCATTCATATTGAACACATATTATCTAAGGTTATGATGACAAATTCGTTACTGTAGACAGTTGTGTGAAATCTCTTTCAGTTTTCTCTTGTTGCCCATGAACGTAAACATCAAAATGATGTTGATAATTGAGAGAATCTGTTGAGAAATAATTTAGAAGAGATATAATAACAAGAAGAGAAGTAAATACACCAGTTGCAACGAGATCAATAATGATTTCCGAATTCAGATCGGACAAAGACATTGTATCATTTTCATTTATCTTTCTGATGAAAATTTGTTCACAATATTAAGCGCCTTTTATTTAAAAAGAAGATTATTGTAAAGAAAGTCACAAACGAATAAAATGACTTTTAGAAGACATTCGAAAATGTGATATTTGATTTATCTAATCTAAATTTTTCTTTTAAAAGTTCATAGAAAAAGAAACGAAACAAAGCATTTTTAAAAAAGCAAAGAACATCAATGAACAGATAGAACTGAGATGAAAAGTACCTAAGCGGCTGGTGCTCGATTGTGATGTTGATTATATTCTTTTTGAGCTTCTGGCATCCATGTTTGAAGTTGACCAATACGTGTGTTATGTGATGGATGATCAGAAAGAAATGCTGGTGGTGAACCTTTACCAAGTTGTTCATCCATTCGTTGCCAAAAGGCAATCGCTTCTCGTGGATCATAACCAGCACGTGCCATATATAATAAACCAATATGATCTGCTTCCGATTCTTGTTTACGTGAAAATGGTAATGTTGCACCATATTTTGCACCAGCACCCAATGCTCCCATTATTGTCTATTACAAGAAATTATTTTCTGTCCAAATTTGTCAAATATGTGTGTTTACTTGTCTTTGAGCTGGATCCATGTCCATCATACTTCCCTGTACACCTCCTAGTATAGTTTGAACAATTTGAGAACGGAAAAGTCTTTCAGCACTATGTCTTGAAGTTGCATGAGCCATTTCATGACCAAGAACAGTTGCCAATCCAGCTTCATTTTTAGCTATTGGGATGATGCCTGTATACACGACTATTTTACCACCAGGTAGACAAAATGCATTTTTTTCATGTGATTGAATCACACGCACCTATTCGAAAAATAAACAAAATGTTATCAAAATAGACAAAATCCTATTTTGGAATCAATTCTTACTTCCCAATTGTACTGTACAACTGCTTTTTCAGCAGCTGCTCGTGCAAGTCGATTTGTTACACGCTTAACTAACTCGACATCTGGTCCACTTTGAATAATTTTTCCTGCTTCATCTCGTTTTACTTGAGCATACGCTTCTAAACCTAATCGTTGTTCTTGTTCAGGACTCAATGCAACACGAGCAACTCGACCTGTTTCAGGATTCGTAACTTTGCTTGCTGTATACAATTTAAATAAAACAAAACCAAGAGCAAGTAGTATCGGAGCCAATGCCAAGGGAAAAGCATGTTTACGTTCGAGTTTAACAGGCATTTCTTAAGTTGAATTATTTTTCTTAAATGGAAATAAAATCAAAAAGATAATATTTGACTTTTAGCAGTATAAATAAATTAGATCAAGTCACGTTTTCAGTGAAAATATTGATGTTTTATTTGCGACTGTCAATAACGTTTCCTGTTCGATTCGATCAGGAAATACAAATAAACACAAATAGATAGATAAGAGAGAAAAATGAACATTGGTCAACTGATTTCATGTTATACAAATTCATTGATCAACAGAGGCCACTAATACACACTCTTAGAAATAGTTAGTTGTATTTCTTATTCTCTGTGCCAAGAGATGCCATCACGCTATTTGATTCTTTTGTTTTACATCAATAAGAAAATAAAGTTGCTGCAAAAAATATTATACTAATACGTGGATATCATGTTCACTTTCTGTTAAGGCAAGAGAAAAGGCATGTTTCGACACGAAGTTTTCTAAGACAAACGATCATTTTAGCGTCGTATCCTTCAAATTCGTCGTGTATCTATGAATATTTCATCCAAATAACAGCAAAAATATGATAAGTTTCTTTTATGAACAAAAAAATGAGAGAATAATCCGAGTTGAAATATTCAATTAGCGTCCATAGATATAATTCGAATTACATTTATTTCTCTGGCATTGATTTTTCTAATTATATAGTTTAGCTTTTATCTTTGTCTCTAATTTAAATTGACGTATTGATAGCGAACGTTCATATCATCAAGAGAAGTGCAACGTCTAATTATACTGTCAATACACAACGAACATTTCTTTCGAATGTGAATATGATATCCGTTCCGATAAAGATATTCTGGAAATCATTTCCTAGTGGAAAGATAACGCGATAATCTAATCTGTTTGCTATACACTCAACAGATGCTTTTTCTGGGTTTCACTATGCATTTCTAAATTCAAATTATGCTTTGTTTCTATAATGAGTTACATCAATACATTTGTTGATGTATTTTTCTTAGAGATGAAATTAGGGAGATATTTTTGTTTCTTCTTCTATCCCGTATGAAAAGAAAGAAAGAAAGGGCATGACCTCATCTTCGAAAAATCAGTCGTCAACGAACTAAGAAGTATGCTTCGTGATGAAAATTCGAAAAGAGAAAAGTTCGTTCGTTGACCGTTGTATAATGTCGATTAAGATTGGACAGAAAGTGAAGCGAAAGGAAAATCATTGTTCTAGAATTCACTCTCCTTAGTTCTCTCTCCCTTTGTTTCCGTTTGTTCGTATATAAATGGAGGTGAATCGGTCATAAGTAGAGAGCATTCATTTCATCAATTGTTTTCGAACCAGAAAGTACAATCATCATGACTTTGGATCCATTTTTTCGTCGTATGACCATGATTGCCGGCGTATTCGCATTTATGGGTGTTGTTCTTGGTGTTGTAGCATTAGCTACTAATTACTGGACAATGGAATATGAATTTCAACCAGGTATGCCAATGATGATGAACAACCAAAATACCACAATGCGCTGGAATGTAAGTCGTGTCATTATGTAAATTTGAAGACTTATCTTTACTGAATTGGAATTTTAGGGTTTATTTTATCGATGTATGTCAGGTGAAAATCAATGTATGACAATGTTCTGGCGTACAACTTTTATCTTATGTCTATTGGGAATGATATTTATGTTTGTTGGTGGAATCTTCTCAGTATGGGAAATGTTCCAAACAAGTGACCGACGATTCTTTATTCCAATGTTATATTTCGTTGCTGTAGTTGTGATGACAGCTGGTCTTTTTGATTACGGTTCATATCAACGTATGAATTATCATTCATCACGTTGCATGGTTGCGGCTGTTGTCTTCGGTTATGCGGCTTTACCTATGTCAGCTTTTATTGCCGGTCGATATTCTGCTTATGATCGATATGTTAACAATGGTCATGTTAACAATGGACAAAAGTATGTTCCTGCTGCAACAAATGGAAATTAAATCAAAGCTTATGAATGACTTGTCATCTTTTTTTTGTTAATGTAGTTCTTGCCTTGTTTTGTGTAAAATGTTTTTTTGGAAAAAAAATCTCATTATGAATGAAATGTGAATTAGAGTTCTATCAAATTTATTCAATAAACACCTTTATAACATCATACACATTTTCGTTTGTGATCTTGTGAACAAGTTGTCCTCAGGGAAGTTAAAGGGATACAGGTCAGTAACTTGATTTCACAATGGTTTTAACGACAATGCCTTACAAATAAAATGAAAGTAAATAAAGTTATCAAAAGAGAACATATAATTATGAATATATGCATCGTCTCAGTGACTATAATCAGTGGACAATCTTTACAAACGACGACAACCAAAGACGAACTGCTTAATATGAATAAACTTAGTATACATTGCAATGTTTTTTTGTCGGGATTGGCCTGTGTATTTGTACTACTCCTAAAAACGATTGTGTTCGGTTTAGAATTGAATGCTCTCTCAAGTGATGTAGGCTTGGAAGGGAAGAGGGGAAGGATTACTGTGAGAAACAAAATTCGCCTCGCCCTCAGACCCAACTTTAATTTGACCTCTATATCTTTCTCAGAAATTTCTCTTTAATCAATGAATATAGAAAACCCCAGATTTTGTAAATAAAAAAAAACAGATTTATTTCTTTGTTTCTTTTTTAAAAAATGATGAATAAAGTTCTTTTTCATCGACTCGATGTTCTTTAATTTTCCGATGACATTCATCAATTAATTGTTTCGCTTGAACATTTGATGGATTAATCTCTAAAACGGTTTCAAAATCTTTAACAGCCTGTTCATAATTTCTTGTTGCCAATCGACATTGTCCAAGACGAAAATGCGATTTTTCATGTCGTTTATCATGTGCCAATGCAGTTTCACACGATCTTCTACATTCAGCATAGTTTCCCAGTTTCAAATAACATAAAGCTAAATTTGATTGTGATGCAAATTTCAATTCCCACGATTTTTGTCGATCACTTTCACTGACTAATGTTGCATTTAAAAGATAATGAAATACTGTTCTATATCTTTTCGCTGCAAGATCATAATAACCAGCCTGAAAAGAGAGATCTTCATCGAAAAGAGATCGTTTAGATTGTTTTACTTTAACAAATTCATCTGCACGCGCTTTTAAAATCTCTGATTGTTGAAGTTTTTGATCGTCGCTTAATTGTCGTTCTTCCTTTGCCTAAAAAAGAGAAAATGTTTGCTTTCGAAGTGACCAAAGCATCGTACTCGTTCTAATTTGATTAAGATAACGTCATATTGAATTGTTTCATTTGATGAAAGATTAAATATCCTTTTTAAATCTTCAATTGCTTGATTTTTCAAATAAATTCGATCATGTTCATTTTTAGTCATACGAAATATCGTTCGTTCAATTCTAAATTATCAACAAGTAGAAGAATAATTTGAATAAGAAGAAATTTCTACCCTGATGGAATCTTTTCAACAATTCCTGCACCCATAATAAACGTCACTGTTCGTTCATCAAATATCTCATCATTTTGACTTCCTTTCAGATTAACTTCAACAATTGAATCTTCATTTGCTGGTTCATAACCTTCACCTCTTTTAATTATTCGTCGAAGAATACTTTCATCTCTTTCTTCACTTATATCTTTTCCTTTAAAAGAGAAAATTGAAGAAAACTTTTCATTAGATTTTCACTTAACCTTTTGAACTAATCAATTCAATTTCAAAAATCACATCTGCTGCTGAATCAACTTTTCCAGGTAAACCTTTCAAACCATACGCATATTTGGGTTTCGAAAAGAATTTTGAAATTTCTCCACATAACATTGTTTCAACAGCGATATCAAATGCTTTGATCACTTCACCTCTTCCTAAATTGAAACTAAGAGGCGAATTCTCTTCTCGAGTATCTTTGAAAATTGTTCCATCAAGAAGACTTCCAACATAATGAATGGTTACTTGATCATCAAACCAAGATTTTTCACCATTCGGATTTTCTTTCACAATTTGTTTGTATAAACCTATTGAATAGAAAACAAAATCACTCGTTTTTAATAAGAAAAAAAGTGAATATTACATCCATCTTTTGTTGGAGTTATGTCTTCACCATCGAATGGAATGTTTCGTTTCTTTTTTGAAGGCATTTTCGACGAGGACAATATCGATTACTGTTAGATTTATTCTATTTTGTTATTCGTCACACATCAATGAACATTTTCATGGTAGATCGATGATCATTAACCAATCATTTCGACTATGCAATTTTCTGTACAATACTTTTTGTATTCGATGTATCTCTCGAGTTATTGAGAAAAAGGAAAAGAAAAAAAAGGTGACATAGAGTTGTTTATTGTCGTTTATACAATATTTTGAATAGCAAAAGAGAATTGAACGTTGTTTATGAGATTATATTTATGAAAGTGATTTTTAATCGTGAATTTAGTAGTCAGAGATGAAAAAATTGAGAACTCGATAATCTAGACAATATTCGTAATCGCAAAATCTTTCCTGTGTTTCATCAATCTTGAAAAATGATCAGATTATTGTTCCCCTTTCTGAAAGAAAGGATTATAGCTGCGTTAAAAATCGGAAAAGTTAGTTGTCCAAGTCAATCAGAAATGAGGATTGCTTAAATCATCGAAATTTACCCTTATGAACTAGGGATTGACTAGTAGATAGGTAATAGATGACGGAGAACTCGAATCCGGGATTAGTTTTTAAGATTTCAATTAGTTAATTAGCTAAATAGGGAATGAAAAGTTTTTTTAGTGGTCGAGTAAGGATCGACCGGAGGGTAATCGGGGTGGAAGATATCGAATCTGATATTCGTTTCTCAGTAGAAAAATCTGTTCTGTTTTGTTAGACAAGGGACGAATTTTTGGTAAGAATTTTTTTTAGACGATAGTATTTGAAGGAGCAATATGTAGAATAAAACGAAATAGCTGATTAACGTCCGATTGTTGAATATGAATATTCAACAGCATATTGATAAAATTACAATTATATAAATAGTTATATTACACAAACATCATCTGATGCCAACCACTCAAAGTAATA